AAAAACTTCCCCCGCTGCACCCGGCGATAGACAAAATTGGCACCGCCGAGCCCTGGAAGCTTCAGCGCTACCGCCCTGTGGGGACCCGCAGGAGCGTCGTCGATCGCACCCGCGCCCCTGATGAACGGGAGTGGGATGTCGCTGACGATGTACTAGTCATAATGCGAGTCATTGCAGGTTGGCCTCTCTCCGTGGACGATCTCTGCGCGCAGGAGACCAAGGAGGCCGACTCGAAGAAAGGTTTCGCGACCAAAACGCTCGGACTCAACGTTCCAGTCGCCTGCCACCACGAACGGAAGGCACGATTCCCTCGAAATCTCAACGGATGCCGCGAACAGCTCGTGGTTGCCTGACTGGCCCATGCTGGTGGTGCCATAGACCGAAACTATTAAAATCTGCATGCTACCAATCACCGTCCGTCCGCTGAAAGAAGATGCGTGACTTGGAGCACTCCCCCGTCGGCTGATAAGGGGACACTTGGTACACTGCCGAGGCTCAGGATGCCGACTCCGCTCGAGGTGGCCGTCGCCGTGCTTCTGGTGATTCGGCAGTCAATGGCAAGGAAGCGGTATCCACGAGCATGTGCCCAGCTCTGAGCACTCTTTAACTGATCTCCTCATCTGAGCCGATGCTCTTGCACATGTAGCACATCGGGTTGCATGCGCTTGTCCAGCACCAGCCGCTTCAGGAACGCTTGGGTCGTGGCCCGCGCATTCCCTTTGTGGGTGACGAACGTGAACTCCGACTGGTGCTTGTGTGACGAAGGGGCCTCGGAATCAGCTGCCCACCGCAGCGCTCGGGCCGCGTCTTGAGTCGAGCTCGAGGCCGGCGTCGACCACGGCGCAGACAACTCGTCTCCCAAGACTCCACAGGAGGAAGGGGCAGCGGCGCTGTCGGTCTCGATGTCCTGCTGGTTGTTGTCGCACAGCCGTAACTCTGAATAATCAGGAAAACTTGCACCACTATACGTGACAGCAGGTAGACCCATGCCACTGTGAGGCTTTGGTCCTGACTTAGAGTTTTGAACTTTGTCGAGCAGAGGCGACAAGGGAATATCCTGTTTGCAGAGCGGGCCCGCCGTTCCCCCGATGCCCAGATTACCAGGTACACGGGAAAAACCTGCTCTACGTCCTTCAGCTTCGCCACGGTAGTGAACCTGAATGTTGCCCCCAAACATGCCGTGATCCAGCATGCGGGGGCAACCAGCAATTAGGGGTGATGTAGCCGTGGCGGCCTGTAGCCTCCTGCCGCCAACTGCATGGCCTTCTCGCGCAAGGTGGATTCCTTCGCGTTCTCGGCCACGAAATCACCCACGTCCTGACGTAACTGTTCCAAGTCCAGCTCTGCGAACTTCCATTCGCTAGACTGCGGTGTGCGTGTGCCCTGCTCCTGCGAAGTTGGCTGGGACATCTCTCGCTGTGTCTTCTTCTCAGGGGGTTCCTCCAGCAGCTCCGCCGCCCGAGACGTGAGCGCCTCGACCAGCTTCGGGGCCAGCTTGCTGGCATCTGCAACCCCCTCCATGGAACCCAGGCAGGCAAGCAGCTTCGCCTCGCAGATGTGGAACTCGGGCCCCGTGAGGTCCACTGCCATCGGCTGCGGGGCGGGCTGTGAAGACAAGGCCCTGACCTCCTCCTCCAAATCCTCCACAGCCTTCTTGCGCTCCTCGACGACGTTCGCCGCCTCCGTAGCTGCAAGCTGTGCTGCCGCCAAAGCTTTGTCTGCTGAGATCTTGTCCTGCTCGGCCTTCTGTAGACGCTGACGGGCTTGCTCAGCTCGTCTCGAAAGCGCCGTCAGCTTCGCTGGTAAGGGTTTGGTATCATATAGGTTCCGACGTGCTGCCTCCAACTGCTCACGTGCCACAAGGAGCGGCTGAGCAGCCCAGGCAAGTTTGATGTATTCAAGCCGCTGCACATGTTTAGCCAGACCATCGATTTCTTCACGTAACTCATCAGCTCCATTCGTCTCATCCGCCATCGCCCCTCCGTCCTGAGGCGCCCGCAGACGCTGGTTCTCAGCTTCGAGGGGCTGCAGCCGCTTCTCGAGCTTTGCCACTGCAGCTGCGGATGGCTCGATCGCGGGTTTGCGTTTGGTGTTTCGGTTCGGGGCGTCCGAGGGCACCACCTGCTTGAAACACACACCCTTGTGGAGCTTGCACTTGAAGCGCTTCTCATTGCTTCCATAATTGATGAGAGGGGGACCAGTGCGACGGACAGTACAGAACTTGCACATCCAATCTGCTTTGGCCTCCGTGTGCCACGGGCTGGGCGCCATCCTTGCGCCACGAGTCGAAACGGGAGGCTGCGTCGCCTGGGGCGGCTCATGCAGCGGTGCGATGAGAAGACTGGTGGGGTCTAGCCGCGGAGCGGACTAGCGGTATCCAGTTGTTTCGCTGGGAAACACAAAACCTTGAGCCAAAATGGTTACGGACGAGGAGCAGGAGGAGGAGGAGGAGGAGGAGCAGGAGGAGGAGGGGAAGGAGGAGGAGGAGGAGCAGCAGCAGAGGGGGGGTGGAGGTGGACTTTTCGCGCTGGATTGGTGTGCCGAAGTTTCGCCTGGCGCCCGCCTGGGCGGCCCGCGCTGGCGGATCCTGCGGAAGACTCGCCTCGTGCTCGCCGGTCGGGCCTCGTGGGCGCCCCGCGTTTCGGGGCTATGCCTCGCGGTTCGCCTGGCGCCTATCCGTGGGCGCCTCGTGGGTGCCCCCCCCAGCTTTGCACCACTGAAATGGGCAACAGCGCGTGCACCACACAGCCTGCACCACATAGCTACACAACGGAGCTTGCACCACCTAGCTGAAACCACACGGACCCACGTAGGAGTTGGTACGCTCTACCTCATCACCCCGGCTGGACTTAAATGTGTCGCCTGTTCGGTTTGCTCTTTACATAAGATTGTGCCTCGTCGTGTATCCGAACATGCCACTCCATCCCAAACGGTCCCTTCCATCGCCTCCCTCACCCTCAACATACATTTTATGCCCGCGCCCCCGTTTATCGAACATCAGCAGTTCCCACAAACACTTTGCACAAAAAGGGACGCAATGCGTCCGCGTGCGTCGTCGCGCGCGGATGCCAGACTTCTTCGAAAAAAAAACTTCAAAGTCAAACAACATGTCAAAATCGAGTGTCCCGAACACGTCGAATGGGCAGCGGTTTTGCAAGAATGTTGAAATACATGCGCTCGCGTTGTTGTACATGTTTGGGCAAGCCAAAAGCAATCAACATGTTCACCACATTATACCAACATGTGCATTTCGCGCGCGCGTGATAAAATCGTTCGAACTGTCTTGCCCGCGTGCTGTTTCAAAAACTATTTGCAACACATGGGACGAATAGCACCCGCGCGCGCCGTCGCGCGCGCATGCCGGAATCTTTCAGACACCTTCGGCTTCGTAGATATTGCAACATCCAATGTCCCGAAAACATATAACACGCATGGTTTTGCAACGTCAGTTTCCCCAACAAGTCTGCACACATGCTCTTGCGAATCCTTTGGGGGATCATCGGGATTTAAACACTTTTTCATAACATTCGACCGAACGGGCCTCTCGCGCAGCATGTCGGCATCATTCGAAAGCCCTTGCGCGGGTGCTGGGGGGGGCTACGACCCCAGTCAAATAATACCATGCGGGCCACTCGCGCGCGTCGGCCGCGCGCGACTGTTAACCTGATCCCAAAACCTTTTTCAACGACGCGAGGACATCGTCATCGTCATCGGCGTGATCAGCATCGGCGCTGTGATTGGATTTGCCGTTGTCCTCGCCACGATCGTCACCATCGCCGCTACGATCATCATTGTATTTTTTGTCGGCGTCGCCATGATACCGCGCCCGCCCAAGTCACCGACTTGCACTGTAGTGCCCGTTGGGAAGTGCCCGGCGGTAAGCGCCACCGCGGCCGCGTCGGCCGCGCCAAACTAGCTGGCCACTGTGCGCGCGACCGTGCGCGGGCTAGCGCGGCCGCAGAGCTGCACCAGCCAACACCAAGCACCCATCGCAATCGCCACCGCATGGGTGTTGCAAACCAAGTTGCGGGTGGGTGGGTGGGATAATTGCACGAGCAGTGGAATTGACCCATCCAAGTTGTTCACAAGTAATTTCACAACATAGCTTGCACAACATAGGTTGCACCAAATATTGCACCACACAGCATAGCCTGCACCACATAAGTCGCAGCACAGACGTTGCACCACGCAGAGTGCATCCCCTAGTTTTCAGCAGATAGCTTGCACCACACAGATTGCACCGCATGGTTGCACCCCGCAGCTTACACATCCACAGAGCAATACCTTACTGTTTGGTGTCGACGCTTGCTAGACCTTGGAGCATCACACAACGATCCCGCCGCAATTACCGAATGCCCGACAAGGCAATATGAATGGGTCGGCGCTGAGTCGAGGTGGGTCGAGGGCAGATCGCGGGTGGGTCGCGAGCGGGTCGCGAGCGAGGACGACGACTGCACCGACCATCAAACAACAACAACAACAACAACAACGACAACAACAACAACCACCACCACCACCACCACCAACAACAACAACAACAACAACAACAACAACAACAACAACAACAACGACGACGACAATACGAATCACCAAAAAAGCTCCCTTCGGGCACGCGCCGAGGGCTGGTGTAGCACCGTTCGGGCCCCTCATGTTGATCACTGAGCAAGTGAAGAGCAGCGCGCCACACTTTGCCCACGGCACGTCTTCGCAATTGTTGGCCTGGCGACGCTAAAAACCACAGGGGAATTGAGCGGTGGCGAGTGCTTGCATGAGCTTCCAAAGGCTCGCAGCTCGTGCCGAAGATGCCACAGCTTTTCCTGCACCGTGGTAGACGGTGCCTCCGCAGGCTCAAACCGCTTCTGAATGGCCCAGGGGCGTGCCGAGCCCCCCCCCACCGGCAGCGAAGCACGACGGTCCACTGCCAGAAACCCACGGACGTCGCCGACACGACCCGACCGCGCTCGTCTCCAGCAGCGCTCTCTGGCAATCCGGGGACGCTCCTGCTTGAGACAATCCCGCTGCTCGGTCGCCCGCGCGATCTGCATCCGCGCCTCGTCGATCTTGGCCCGCTGCATGAGGGATCGTTGCTCCTGGCTAGGCGAGAGCTGGCGAGGGCGAAGAGTTCGGTCGGGCATGTCCTCCTACAAGCGGACCTCGGCAAAAACAATGAACAATACGCAAAAACTGATCCACAAGAAGCCAAAGGTCACCAACAGTCGTCCCCAGACAAATTTCGTATGTCTGAATATTCCTCCTGTAGAGGAACACGCCCGACGTACGAGAATCGGGGTGACCCACAAGGGGGTCCAGCTGAAAGGGGGTGATGCAATAGATTGGGGCAGTTGTTTTGCAAATGTATTGCGCCGGAGGACCGTATTGCATTGTATTGCAAGTGATGCGTTGCGCGCGACAATACAGCAATACATCTGCGGCCCGAAATGTATTGCAGGCCCCAAATGTATCGCAACCCCGCAAATCGACTGCACCGACACTTATTGCACCACCCCCTTGTCGCTGCATCCCCTTTTGTCGCCGAGCGCGCTCCACTACTCGCAGGAGTGCCTACTCGCAAACGAAAAAAATCAGATTGAGGGGACCGAACGGTCATTCACTGTCCCTGGGTGCGTGGCTGAAATTGAATTCCGCGGTGCGGATTATCGTTGTTGTTGTTGTTGTTTTTGAACATTATTAATTCTAAAGAATAATTATTGTTGGGCCCCCTGGTGCGCGCCCCCCCTGCGCCGCCTAGGCCGCAGCTACATTTTCATCATTTTCGTGAGGAAGCCTCAGGTAATTCGAGGTGATCAAGATCCGGTTGTTTTGTTCCCCCCCGCTTTCCCTTGCAAAAAACACTATAAAATGACATTTCTTGTTCTAATATAATCAAATTTCAAGAATCCCTTGCAAAAAATAAGGTAAAGTGGACATTCGCGCGCGCAAGACGAAATCCTTCCAAAAGCTTAGTGTTCGGAGCGATTTTAACATAAAAACATCAAAAAACCAATGGTTTTTCAACAAAAAATGTCAAAATCTCATCCCGCGCGCTCTTGCGGATTCGTAGGAAACCCAACACTTTTTAAACATTTCTGTCAAACGGGCTTTTGCGAGCAACTTTTTCGAACTTCTGCGACAACGGTTGCGCACCTGCCAGGGCCATCATCCCTGTCAAATAATACCATGCGGGACACATTCGTTTTTTCTTCGCGCGCGCACGCCGAAATCTCCAAAAACCATTGGGTTCTTAAGTTCTGTGGGTGTGTACCCCACGCCAGTGTAGTAGCCACGGTCGTCCGCACGCCACGAAGTGAAGTGTCCCAACGTCATAGGGCGGGAAGCTGGGTTTGGGTGGTCGCGAAGAGTCGTTTGGATATTTGGTAGAGCTTGTAATGCCCCCCCACGAAGTGGGGGTATTGCCTGGTGTCGTATGAAAACCCTGGCACTGGGGAGAACACCACGCGATCGGGTAAAATGATTGTTGTTGTTGTTGTTGTTGTTGTTGTTGTTGTTGTTGTTGTTGTTGTTGTTTATTGTTGTTGTTTGTTGTTGTTGTTTGTTGTCGTCGTCCCGCCCGCAACCCGCCCCGCGACCCACCCGCGACCCACCCCGCGACCCACCCCGCGACCCACCCCGCGACTCACCCGCGACCCACCCGCGACCCACCTGCGACCCACCCCGCGACCCACCCCGCAATCCACCCCGCGACCCACCCCGCGACCCACCCCGCGACCCACCCCGTGACCCGCCCGCGGCCCACCCCGCGACCCACCCGCGACCCACCCGCGACCCACCCGCGACCCGCCCGCGGCCCACCCCGCGACCCACCCGCGACCCAAACCACGTTCAAGGTACAAACCACCATTTTCGGCGCCTGCGGCGGGTTTTTTTTGCATTCCTTCCAGGTGGAGAGCCCGCGACCCACCCCGTGACCAACTCGCGACCAACCCGCGCCCCAAACCACGTTCAGGGTACAAACCACATTTTTCGGCCCCTGCGGCGGGCATCCGTTGCATTCGTTTCAAGTGGAGAGCCCGCGGCCCACCCGCGACCACGTTCAGGCTACAAACCACATTTTTCGGCGCCTGCGGCGGGCACTTTTTGCATTCGTTCCCGGTGGAGAACCCGCGGCCCACCCGCGACCCAAACCACGTTCAGTGTACAAACCAATTTTGTTGGCGCCTGCGGCGGGCTGCTTTTGCATTCCTTCCAGGTGGAGGTGGAGAGCCCGCGACCCACCCGCGACCTAAACCACGTTCACTGAACAAACCAATGCCGCACAAACGCGGCTGCGGATGTTTGAGAGAGCGTGATCCACCGCCGCTTTACTGTGGAAAATTGCCAACCTTTTCCTCCTGAGCCCGGGGTCCTCCCCCCCCCCCCTCCGAAAATCCCCCCCCCCCCCCCCTGCCGGAACCCCTCCCCCCCCCCCCCCCCCCCCCCTCCCCCCCGGCAAAACCCCCCCCTCCCCTAACCACCCCCCCCCCCCCCCCCCCCCCCCCCCCCCCTCCCGCTCGAAAACCGGGGGGGGGTCCTACCCGTTCGAACCCCTCCCCCCCCCCCCCCCCCCCCCCCTCCGGATCCGAAAACCGGGGGGGTCACTACCGGTTCGAACCCCCCCCCCCCCCCCCCCCCCCCCCCCCCCCCCCCCTACTCACCGCCAGCAAACGACTCCCGGTCCCCACCACCGTCCGCATCACATCCCCCACTGGTGTTCCCAGCACCACTGTCCTCACCACCGCTGTCCCCACTGGTTCCACCACCGCCCCTACTGTCCCCACCAGTGGCCCCACCACTGTCGCACTGTCCCCGCTGTCCCCAGAACTGTTCCCACCACGGTTCCACTCTCCCCACTGTCTCCACGGCCCCAACCACTGCCCGACTATCCCCACTGTCCCCACTGTCCCACTGACTCCTCCGCTGTCCCACTGAGCTGTCCCACTGTTCCCACCACTGTCCCCACTGTCCCCACCACTGTCCCCACTGTACCTCTGTCCCATTGTCCCACCGCCGTCCTCGCCACCGCCTTCACCACTGTCCCCACCACCATTGTACCCTCCACTGTCCCACTGTTTCCACCTCGTTCCCATTGTCCCCACACCACTGTCCCCACCACCACCGTCACCACCACTGTCCACTGTCCCCCCCTGTTCCCACCATTGTCCCCACCACTGTCCCCACCACTACCGTCCCCACCGCTGTCCCACTGTCCCACTGTCCCCACCACTGTCCCGCTATCCCCTCACCACTGTCCCCACCACTACCGTCCCCACCACTGTCCCACTGTCCCCCCACTGTCCCCACCACTGTCCCGCTGTCCCCTCACCACTGTCCCCACCAACACCGTCCCCACCACTGTCCGCACCCCCACTCGGTTTTCGAGGGGGGGGGGGGGGGTTCGAACCGGTAGTGACCCCCCCCCCTTTTCATGATGAGCTGGGGGGGGGGGGGGGGGAGGGGTTCGAACGGTAGTGACCCCCCCCTTTTTCCGGAGGGGGGGGGGGGGGAGGGGTTCGAACCGGTAGTGACCCCCCCCGGTTTTCCGCCAGCAGCGGTAGAACACGCTCTTTCGGATGTTTGCATGCCGTCTGAGCCCGCAAGGACCTCTTCAAGCCCCGCGCATCCACACCAGCCCGTCCAGCAACTCTGCCCTGGCGAGTTGCCTTGGTCAGAGAAGGCGGGGAGCATAAAGTGGAAAAAAGGATTGCGTTGCAGTTATCTTGGGAAAAGGAGGGGGAGGCAGGTGGAGTAAACTGGGAGGAGGAGAACGCGGAAGAAGAGAGGATGCAAGGAGAATGTGGAGAAAGAAAAGGAGAGGAGCAGGAGGACGAGGAGGGGGGAGGAGGGAGGAGGAGGGGGAGGGGATGATGATGATGCTGATGATGATGATGCTGATGATGATAATGATGATGATGGTGATGATGATGATGATTATGATGATGGTGATGATGATGATGATGATGGACGACAATGAGAGGACGATGATGGAGGCCGATGAGGGGGAGGACGACAATGGGAGGACGATGATGAAAAGACGAGGGGGGGAGGGAGGACGAGGAAGCAGAGGAGGAGGAGGAGGACGAGGTGGAGAAGGAGGATGACGATGACGATGAATACGAGGACGAGGACGAGGAGGAGGAGGAGGAGGAGGAGGAGGAGGAGAGCGCCATCGACAGAGAACGTGGGGGCCACGAGGTCCGCCGGCTCGACGACGCCCGCGTCGCCCCCCGCCCCCTCACTCTTATCCGCAATTGCGGGGTGCTACGTACATGTCTGTCTTGACGTAATGTATCGTGGATCCCCCGCGGGGGATCCAGGCCATCTGCGAGTCGTTACTCTGCGAGAAGTGGAACGCGCTCGTCGACTTAGGGGGGTCGATGCGCTCCACCCTGGGCCTGTCCCCCCCACCCCCCAACGTTGCACCCGAGAAGGCGGGAGCAGGAGGAGGCTCGGCTCGACTCCTCTGCCCAGGGAGAGGGAGGAGGAGGCGGAGGAGGAGGCGGAGGCGGAGGCGGAGGAGGGGGCGGAGGAGGAGGAGGAGGAGGCGGAGGAGGAGGAGGATGAAGAGGAGGAGGAGAGCGCGCTCGTCGATGCTGGGCCACCCCGAGAGAAGGAGAGAAGGATTCCGCCGGCGCCCGCGAGGAGCGGAGGAGCCGGGCCCTCCCCGGAGAGCTCTCGGAGGGCCTCGGCCGCAGCTTCCCCTCCTCCTCCTCCTCCTCCTCGTCCTCGTCCTCCTCCTCCTCCTCCTCCTCCTCCCCTCTTCCTCCTCCTCCTCCCTCCCTCCTCCTCCCCTCCCTCCTCCCTCCTCCCTCCTCCCTCCTCCCTCCTCCTCCTCCCTCCTCCCTCCTCCTCCTCCTCCTCCTCCTCCTCCTCCTCTCCTCCTCCTCCTCCTCCTCCTCCTCCTCCTCCTCCTCCTCCCCCATGTACGCCTTCCCCCAGGCCCTACGGGAGGGTTTCCCCCGGAAGGCTGGGGGGCTTCCGATAAGCGCCGCCGCCGTCTGCTGAGCGTTTTGTGATTCGGCTTTGACATTGGGCAGAAGGTCGTCTTGCGCTGGCGCCCGCGTGCGCCCCAGCGCCGTCGCCGTCGGAGTCGGAGGATGACACGAGGAGGGAGCTACAGTGGAGGCCAGTCCATACGAAACCTTCAACAAGAAACCTTCCACAAAACCTTATTCGGCGCCATTGACATTCGGCGTTTTGACATTGTTATTCGGGGTTCTGGCTCCAGACCTCTGCTTAGTGCGACTGCTTGCAAAGAGTGCTGCGTCTGAGGGAGACTCCACCTGCTGGAAGCAGGCGCTGAGAACAGCCAGGATCTACTCCACGGAGGGGGGGGCAAAGGGCCCGCGCCGATCGGCAAAACAACGAAGGACAAAAACGACCACCTGAGGATCGGGGGAACAAAAGTGGCGTAGATATTAAAGCTCGGAGGCCGCGCGGATTCCTCGGATCGGCGTTGGGGGTCCCCGGAGGCGCTTCCGGCGCCGCCCCTGGCGCGCTCCGCGCGCCAATGGGAGGGGATCCGGCGCCGAGCCGAGAACTCCGCGCGGCCCTCCGAATTGTGTTTTGTTTGTGCCACCTGTTGCTCCCCCTAACGAGGAGGCCTGCCCGCCCCCTCTGGCTTCCACCATTTGCGCGCCGCGCAACAAAAATGCGCACGGTACGCACTGGGGGCAGGGAGCAGGAAAAGGTGCACAGGGGGCAGGGGGGTGCACAGGGGCAGGGGGAGCGGGCAAGGGGCGGACAGGGGACTGCAGTCACGGCGGAGGAAAAAAGGGACACTCGAGTGGACGCAGGACACTTCCGAGGTCAACACGGTGCAACAAAGCCAGCAAGCACGACAAGGGACGGATACGGCTTGAGTGTCCCCCATTGATCTTGCAGCGTTGACCTTCTCATCGGTCACGACTGTGGGGATTCAGGGGAGGTGATGCCGCAGGTCAGCATCACGAGAGGTGGAAGGGGGGAACAGAGGCTCTGGAGGCTTCAGAGCACCAATAGCTGATCAAAGCGAAAATCACATTATAATGCTAAACGCAGTGCAGCATGACTAGAGGTAGGCATCTATGGCCCAGAGGATGCAACGCAGTGTGATCAAGTCGCCCATGCTCGTGAATCACGTTTATTGTGCTCTCCATGAAGAGGCACGCCTCAGCCCGTACCCATGCATTCTGGCCGCATCACGCAACATGAAAATTCCACTGCAAATCACATCGCGCCATCCCGTCCAGATCGTACGGGGATCATGATCACGGGTCAACACCTTCTGGGCACGTTTGCGATACCATGCACAATCATGCAATGCCGAACGATCATGGACTTGCCAACATCACGCTGCGTCCGCCAACGATACGTTCGGCAACAACGACACACATGTATCCATAGATCACCAACTGCCCAGACGTGCCGCGGACAAAAAAAAACTGCACTGACTGTCCAAAACAAACTTCCGCAGACGAGCCATGTGGCAAGCCGAGCCCGACTGCGGCGAAGGATGGGGGCACCTGACGCCCAAGGAGAGCCCGAAGTGGGCGTGGGGACCTCCGTGCCGCATCGGATGCGTAGGCGCAGATTCAGCGTGAAGACTGAGGGTTCCGAAATGGTGTGGTGACGGACCGTGCGGTGACCTCGGCATCCCCACATGCCTCGCCGCACGGTCTTGCATGCTCCTCCTGGGGGGCCTCCTGCAGCCGCTCGCTCCACTCGTGAGCTCGAGGCCGCGTCGAGCGCCCGTCGATCCGAGATGACCTCGAGCCGAACCTGAGCCGAACCCGAGCCGAACTTTCATCGAACCCGAGCCGAACTGGGGTCGAACTGGGGTCGAACAGATCGGCCAGGTGGGGGGAGGGAAAAGGGGGAGGGAGGACGAGGAGGAGGAGGAGGAGGAGGAGGAGGAGTAGGAGGAGTAGGAGGAGGGGAGGGAAGGAGGGGGTAGGAGGGGGGGAGGGAGGAGAAGGGAAGGGGGGGGGAGGAGGAAGGAGGGAGAAGGAGGGAGGAGGGAGGAGTAGGAGGGGGGAGCCCCAGGAAGGCCCCCAGACGCGAGCAGCTGGACGGCCCGCCGCGCAGAGGGCACCGCCGAACACGCAAAAAACAGCACCCGGGGGGGGGCGACCCGAGAGCTCCGAGGCCGTGCGGCCACCCCCAAGCCTCCTCCTTCCTTCCTCCTGCTCCCTCCCCCCTCCTCCTCCTCCTCTTCCTCCTCCTCGTCCTCCTCCTCCTCCTCCTCCTCCTCATTATCATCATCCTCCTCCTCCCCCTCCTCGTCCTCCTCCTCCTTCTCCTCCTCCTCCTCCTCCTCCTCTTCCGACTGCAGTGGGGCTGGTGACAGAGGGAACGCCAAATGAGGAACGAAGCCCCGTCTTGGCCCTGCAAGCGCCTCCGTGCCCCAGGAGACACAAGAGGAACCAGCACTCTGGAGGAAGCCGAGGAACATCGAGCCCCTTCCGAAGCCAAACCGTTCCTTCTTTCAGCGCCTCGACGGTACAGGATCGTGGTGGTGGCAGCGTCACGTGTGGGGAGTTCCCCTCGACGCCCCGTGCTCTGCTGCCTGGCTGTCAGGCTCGAGCGCCCTCGCAAGTGTGCAAGCGCCAGCACGTGCGCAGGATGCTCCGTAGATCTACGGAGCACCCTATGCCTCCCTCGCAGACTCGACGAGCAAGTCAACGCTGGGGCACATCAATTCTGTAGTCGATCCCCTAGCCGAACGGTGACCGCCCACGAAGAGGAACCGCCCCCCTACGGCGAGCCAGGTGCGCAGAGCAGCGAAACACTCGCCAACCGGCCCTCGCTCTGCCGAGACTGCGAACACACACACACACACACACACACACACACACGCACGCACGCACACACACACACATACACACACACACACTCCCGAAGAGGCACCCGGGAGTCCCAGAACCGTGCGATGACGGACCACGAGGGACCTGTGAATCCCCAGAGACCTCACCACGCGGTCCTTCACCGCACGGTCTTGGGACCTCGGATGCCCCGGTCGCCCGAGACGTCCTCGGCAAACGGTCCGACTCCCAAAACCGCGTGGTGACTCCGAATCCCCACTGGCTCACCACGATGTGTGGTCACCGCGCCGTCTGGGAGCCCCCGAGGTAAGCGCGGGGGCGGGTCTCCTCCATGGCGAGCTCGATGCGCAGCCCGACCAGATCTTCCACTTGCCCGCGGGCACCAGCCGACGGGCGGCGGGGCAGCAGCGCAAGCGGGTCTCCTGCTGCCGGGCTGGGGTTGGAGGGGGGGCGGCTTCCATGAACATAGACAGAGGGGGACAGAAGGAAGAAGGGTTCATGGACACGCTTGCGAGTCACTTCCCCGAATGCCCTGGCCACGCCTCTCACACTCTCTCTCTCTCTCTCTCTCCGGAACTGCAGATGAGCGCAATATGCTGAACACACAACCGCGGCCGTCGCGTCTTGCTACAGTCAGGCGCAACCATGAGGAACGCTACATGGGGGACGAAACCCATGCGTGGCCCCCAAAGCGCCTGGGCGCACGAGGAGCGTAAGAAGAATAAGCAATGAAAACCCTGAGGCACAACGGGCCCCTTTCGAACAAGACCTGTTCCTTGTTTCAACGTCACGGCTTTCATCACCCTCGAGCGCGGCCAAAGCGATTCCGTGACGACCCCCTTCTGTCACAAACCTCGTCGCCTCTCCCCGATGATTAGGCACATGGTCGGGAAGGGTGGCTCAGAGGTGACCAGGAGGGGGGGAAGTCAGGGGGCGTTCAGATCGCCGCTGACGCTATCGCGGGGGGGGGGAGAGGAGGAGGAACATGATTCGCTGGGGGGGTGGGTAGGAACAGGATCGACCCACGAACCCAGAAAGGTTCACAGAACTGTACTGCGTGGAAGCGTTTCCAAGACACCCAGAGTGGGCGACGGGCAATTGCAAATCTGAAGGCATCGATGGTGATGCGGCGCTCTTCCAAATGCTGTGTTGCGGTGGCGAATTAGATGTGCCGTCCCGCGTTGACCTGTGCTGTGCTCATTGCATTGTGGATCAGGTGGTTCTTGGTTTCAGAATCCTGACCGAACTGATTTAGATCTTGGGTTCGAGCTGCCCGAAAGCATAGCTCGAGCTGGTTTCAATAGAAACGCGCGGGGCGCTCGACCAGCTCGCAAAAAAGATCCGATTCCATTCCGAAGCGGCACCCTAAAGGGGCGAACCCGAACCAACGCGAACCGAACGGTGAATGGACAAACCGAAACGCGGCGAATCGAAACACGCAACCTGCATCAAGATGAACCGGAACAAGTTTGTCTCACGGGCACAGGGAAACCATGGAAAAGCATGGTTGTGGCTCACGGACGACAAGAAGCCTTGTAAAAACACATGGCTTGCGCTGACGGGCGAAAGGAACCCACATAAAAACACCCGGTGCTGGATCAAGGGAAGAACGAACGCATGCAAAACAGATGATTGGGGCTACGGGCGAAGCAAACCCATGTAAAAGCACATGGCTGGAGCTCACGGGCGAATGGGGCCCATGTAAAAACAAATGGGTTTGGCCAGCGGGCGAGAGGAACCCATAGAATAACAAGTCTGCGCTCATGGGCAAAAAGGAGCCCACGTAAAACAGATGGCCTGGGCTCAAGGGCGAAAGGACCCGATGTGAGAACGTGCGGTGTTGACTCACGAGCGAAAAAAAACAGTGTAAAAACAAATGCTCTTGGATCACGGGCGAACGGAACCCATGAGAAAAACACGCATGGCTTGCGATCATGGGCCAACGGGGCCCGAGTGAAACCATATGTGGATCGGTTCAAAGGCGGCGCGAGCTCATGTAATCACATGCGGTTTGGGCTCAAGGGCGAAAGGAACCCGTAAACAGACACGATTTCAGCAGCTCCTTCGCCTCCTCCCCCTGGAGCTCCACATGGCGGGCCCCCCGCTCGAGACTCCCCAGCAATTCGCGCACGGATGAAGACGCGCTCCACACATCATCTGATGGTGTGGGCCCAAAGGCGAAAGGAGCCCATGTGCAAACACATGCGTTGAGCTCACAGGCCAAAGCCACACATGTAAAAAACACCAGGCTTCGGCCCAGGGGCGAAAGGAACCTATGTAAAAACACATGGCTTCAACTCACGGGCGACGAATCCGACCTCATGACAAAAATCTCCTCTGGGTGGCCTGCGCACGTGAAAAGAAGAATCCCACCAGCCCTCTGGGCGTAGGTGATCTAGGGTGTTTCCTCTTCCAACCCCCTTCTTCTCCTTCGGGGAGGGACTTATAACTGTTCCATATTAATACACACCCCCTCCCCCAAGCGACGGGGGGCCAACCAAACACCATGCCGACACCATGCGCACCCGTCCCCCGCCGCCCCTGTCAAACAACCATATAAACCGTACTATGCCTCTACATTCGGAGCATGCGCGGGCAACCCGATGCGCCCCCGCCACCACCCCTGTCAAAAAGCAATGCAAAGTATACTTTGGGGCAAACAAGTCTTGAGTCATGTTCGTGAGGCCCGCGAGGATTTCGCATTGTTTTGACAAGGACGGCGTGGTGTCAGCATCTTCCCTGCTGTGCGCAGGGCTACCATCCCTGACCAAAAAACATGCACCTCGCGGCTAAGTCTGGATAGTGCGCGGTCATGCCGCGATCACTGTCAAACAGTTTTTGGCATGGGCGGCGGGGATCGTGGTGCGTGGCCTGCTGTGCGCAGGCCCACCAGGCACAATGATGGGCACCGGCTTTCGACCAGGATGGCGGGGGTCGACATGTTTCCCGATGTTTGCTATTGCGTGCGCAGGCGCACCTGACGCACTCTGCACGTGCCCGCACGTGGCGCACCTGGCGCGGCTGGAGTGTGCGGCACACCTGGCGCACTCGGATCACGTGGCGCATCTGGCGCACCAGGCGTGCCTGGCACGCTCGGGCCCCAGGGATGCCTGGCGCGCGTGGTGCCCCTAGCACGTGTGGCGCACCTCGCCCAAGCGTCGCGTACCTGGGGTCGGCTGTGGTTCCCAGTAACTGCCCATCCGAAGACGACCGCTGCACATGCTCAGGCTCGGGTGTTACTTATGTGTAGGAAGGACGGGTGGGAGTGAGTTAGACGCCTTGCGGGCGGTTGGTAGCTTGACCCCTCCCCCGACCCCCTCCCTTGGACCTGGACGGGGGGGGGCGCGACGCGTTGGAGCGTCCAAGATGGCCCAAGATGGCTCCGAAAGCGCCTCGGAGAGCCCAAGACGACCTCCAAGATGGCTCAAGATAGCGCAAGATGCCTCAAGATGGCACCCAAGATGCTCCAAGAGGCCCCAAAGACCGTCCCAAGACGGATCCAAGTGGCCAAAGAGCTCCCCAAAGACGCCCCGAAGTGACCAACATCTTTCAAACACCATCGGAAAATCAATGTGTTGTTTGCTCGCCTTGTGCTTCCGATGGCCATCCGAGGCCTCAAGATGGCTCCAAGATGGTCCAAAAGGGCCTCAAGAGAGGCTCAAGAGAGCTCGAAGACGGCCCCAAGAGCGCTCCAAAAGTGCTCCAAGAGCGCCCCAAGAGCACTCCAAGAGGCGATCCCTGGGGCTCCCAAGAGGCCCCACGATGACCCCCAAAGGTTCCCAAAAGGCCTGCAAGAGGCCCCCAAGAGGCCCCCAAAGGATCCAAGCGGCCCCAGGAGGCCCCCTCGAGGCACCCAAGACGCCCAAGAGCCCCCTGGACCGCTAAGTGACCCCCAAGACGCCTTAAGAGGCCTCGAAGAGGCGCCCAAGAGATATCCCAAGAGATATCCCAAGAGACTCCGAGAGGCGTCCAAGAGGCCCCCGGCCCTTTTGCTCGCCGTCCTCCTCCCTCCTCCTCCTCCTCATCCTCCTCCTCTTCATACTGTTCATCAGCTTTCTCCCTTCTCCCTCATCCATCCATCCAACCGTCCATCCATCCATCCTCCTCCTTCTCCCCCTCCTCCTTCGAACGGTTCGGCTGTCCCACTCTTTGCTCGCCTGGGCGTCGTTTCTAGATGGGCTGGTGGGGATACTTTTTGTCGCAGCCGCATGCGAAAGCGCAGGCGGCGTCAAACGGGACGGGCGGGCCACGCGCGAACCTATTTGCTTAACGCGCCAGCAAACAGAGGCCTAAGCGGCACCTCATCGGACCGGAAGCGGGAGGTGGTGTCGGCTGCAGCTGCCAGGAAACAGGTCCAGGAGCGAGCGCATGCAAATTAGCCAACCGAGGTTGCCGATGGGGATGCGCGAAGCGTGAAGAATTTTGCTGGAACAATCCTCGACACATTCTGCGGAACTGGCGATTCGCTCAAGACATCCTCGACCAACGACGAAAACGACCTCACACTGCAATTCGTCCAGCGGGATTTCAAACAACAGCTTTCCGTTCGAGACACCATAGGACGCGAATTCGCAAGCCCTTTTCGACTGCGCTACTGAATTGTCGCAGAAGAAGCTGCCCGGCCCTCTTCGAGCATGGCACGGGGGACAGTCTACATATTGAAAGACAGACTCGGGGCCCGAGCCCTGCCGGGAAACGTAAGCATACACTTTTCTGGTCTGCAGGGCGAGCGCGAACCTCTCCCGATAAAAGCTGAGCGGGCTACGCAAAGCTCTAATTGGGGAGACAGGGCACAGAAACGTAAACATACACCCAGGATGCATCAACGATGCTGCGGGCCACCCCGCCGTTCACGAGGACCCCTCCCAAGTCAACGTTTCCTTCTTCGGCGGTTCGACCTTGGGCGGGGGAGCGGGTTTGGGGCGGGGTCTGGCTCTCCAGACCTCTGCGTCGTGCGAGTGTCTGCATTCGTGCGCCCCGTCGGGGAGGGACTCCGCCTGCTCTAAACATAGGGGAACAAAAAGTGACATAGACATAAAAACTCGGAAGTCCCCGCGGATTTCTCGGATCGGCGCTGGACCCCCCTCCCTGGCGCGCGGAGCGCGCCAGGGGCGGCGCCGGAGGCGCCGCCAGGGGGCCCTAGCGCCGATCCGAGAAATCCGCGCGAACATCAGAGTTTTTATGTTTATGTCACTTTCTGTTCCCCTATCTAAACAGGCGCCAAGCGCAGCCAAGATATACAAGAATGGGGGGGGGAGGGGCGGGGCAGGGCCCGCGCCGATCGGCAAGCCAAGGAATGAGAACACGACGACGAAGAGAGAACCCTGGGCCCGAGCCCTGCCGGGGAGAGCCAACAAAAAAAAACACCCAGGATACACCAACGACACTGCGGGCCACCCTGCCGTCCACCAGGACCCCTCCCAGGAAGTCCTTCCAGTGGCTCGGGAGCGCTGCGGGAAGGGCGGGGCCCCCCCCCCCCCCCCCCTGGAGGACGAGCGCCCCAGGGAACGGCGCGACACTCGCGAGAGAGATAGCCCCGCGCACATCGAGAGGCACCGCCTTTCGCCCCCTCGGCCACAGCCTGCGCTCGCGAGGCCCTGCGTGATCTTTCTCCACAGGCTGCGCGCAGCTGAGATATCGGCACTGCGTGCTGCGTGGACCCTCGGCCCAGCTCTGGGCGCGAGACCCCGTCGTGTGTCGCAGTGGCCACACGGCGCCCGCGAAGCCTCCCCGGGCTTTGCCATGTGGAGCTCTCGGGCGCGGCCTCCGCGCGTCCGCGGCCGCCCGCGAGCCCTCGCCGTGTCACTGCCCGCGCGGCCGACGGGGAGGACGGACGCGGCAGCGCTCCTCGAGCCCCACGCAGCCGGACGCGCGGGCAGCGGCTCGGGTGGATCTGTCACCTCCGCCTCGGTGCCAACCCGCGTCGGCATCGTTCGGCCGCGTTCCGTCGCAGGCAACCTCGCAGTCTCCTCGCGCTCTGGCGATGACAACTCCTTGCCCTGGCGATGGGCGTGCCTGTGAGTGCTGGGGAGTGGGCATTGCAAGCCCACCAAAGCAAGGGCGTCCCCCTTGCAACAATAGTAAGCACATGCGACACTACTTCACGCTTCGCCGCTTGGCTTCCCAAGAGCCGTCCCCTCCCTGGTTAGTTTGGATTGCAACGAGTTCCTGTAGTGAACCTGGGACGTGTGGCTGGTCCACGTGTATACAACCAAAACGAAGATGCCAAATGAAATGACAAGACAAGATACGACGCCTCCTGTGGCGCCCCCAACGGTGCCGACCGCCCAAAGGGCTGTGCTCAAGAGCATGCAGATGAAGCCAGCCTTCAACAGGCCCAGAGACACCTTGCGGAGCCACTCGAGACGCCCAGCCAGGTTAGCGCTGGCCTGCAGAGCCTCCAGCGTGGTACCGCGGATGACAAAGTGATCTGCCACCGCGCTTGCGCGCGTTAGTGGACCTCAAACTGCTTGTTCATTGTCTGGTACGGTTTTTGTAGGTCTCCACGGGCGATCAACTCCCATCTCAACGCAACTACTTCTGATCCCCACACACAGCAGATGCTACCGGGGACCCTTCTCGGATTCCATGTTGGCATCCAGACGCCCCCAAGACGACCACGGACTGCCCCAAGCCTGCTGCAAGATGCCCCCAGACCAGCCTCAGACAGCCGAGCGACTCCCCAAGGCTCCAAGAAGTTACCAAGAGTCCCAAACTCGTCGCAAAGAGCGTCCAGGGAGAAAAACAGCAAAGTCTTGCATAGATTTTGCTTCCAAGGCTTTGCAGCTTGAGGTCGGCCGGGAAACCTTCACAGAGCCCCAAGGAGCGCCGAATAAGGTCCAAGACGGCCCAAGGATAGCCTCGATACGATCCCAACACGGCCCGAGAATCCCCGAAAGACAGCCCCAGAGAGCTCCACATCGACCCCAAATAACACAAATATGGAGAAGCCAAACGGTACTGGTACGGCTACTCCCTGGACCTCTCCCGGGGCACCTTCCTGACCAGGATTTCGACGCGAATCCAGCGGTGGCGACGAAGACCTCCCAAGACTGGCACCGGAGGCCCAAGAGGGGGAACACGAGGAAGCAGTATGGACACCTTTTCCTCATCCGATGCTTCCCCAAGATGGTTCAATCGAGCCTCAACGGAAAAGCTCTGCCGGAGCATCGTGCCCAGCCGGAGGCCCCTCAGGCCAGAGGCCCCCCAGGATGTCCCGAAGAAGCACCCAATAATACTCTAAAGTGAAGGCAGAGGGGGATCACCCGGCAGGATTACCTGAGCCGTACCCGCGTGCGAACAAACTGAGCTCTGCTACTCTGCTAATGGCTACTGCAATAGCGCGCCGCGCATCCCTGTGATACAACGCTTCGCACACCCTCTGCGGCATCCCTCTGGGATGCGGCCACAGACCCTTCTCGATAGGACCTCGGTTCCGATTACCTTTCGCGGTGCGGTGCCCGCCCCAGGGGGAAACATCCACTGGCAAGATTGCCGAGTGCAGAGGGGGAGATCGAGGCTGCGGGCAGGCAGGGAGCGTGGTGTAAGGGCCGGGCCGCTGCAGGCAGGGCCCTGCATCTGGGGCGGGCTTCGAGCGCCACCTCCTGTCAGAGGCGCTGCTAGGCTGGCGCGGCGGCGGAGTTGCCGCAGGCGGCCGCATAGATGGCGAGGTAGAACACCAGCGCGGACACGTTAGTCACGAGAACCATGGACACTGAGACCACGCAGGGCTCGTACATCCCAGCCTTCGCCGTGAACTTGCCTCGCTCAACGCTGAACAGGGCGCTGAAGGCAAGACCCGCCAGCAGACCAGCGACGAGCACCTGGTTGGCAATCGTCGACAAGTACTTGTCCATATCCGACAGCAGAACATCTCGGTCTTCGAAGGAAGGGAAGTGCCTCCTCACCCAGCCACTGTCGGGGCTGCCCTTGTCCCACAAGCCTGGCGTCATGTTGGTTCGGCTTGGAAGGAAGCGGGTGCGTGAGCCAACAACAACTACAAATGGCGGTGCATTTCCGAAAGCGAGTGAGTGACCGCAAATACTCAGACCCAAAAAACGAGGCAGGAAACCCTTCACAGCATCGAGAAAGGGACGCGTAATACTTGAGAAACCCCTGCACTCACGCCCTCACATGCTTTTCGCGGCCCCTCATCCAGGAGGAGGAGGAAGACGACGACGAGAAACAGGACGAGCATAAGGAAGAACAGCGGCAGCAGAAGATGAGTCAATGAGTCACCCGGTCTGCCTTCAGCACGTAGTGGAGTGCCACGAGGGTGACACAGATGGAGCGTTGTTAGAGGGATTGTAGACTCCGAAAAAGAAGCCAAGACCACCAAGCTCTGGCGCTTACGGCGATTTCGTCATGCACGGCTTGCGCAAACTCGCCTGTTCGAAGAGCGCCCCAGGCGGCCCAAGAAGCCCCCTGAGAAAACGCAGAGAAACAACCCGTGGAGGGCCCACGAGGCCCTGAAGGCGGGCCTGGGAGGCAGGACCACGGACTGACCTGTCGAGCACTACCCCAAGGGCTGCCCCGAGTCCGCCCGAGGGCCCCCCACCCAGGCACGGCGGCGGGCCGAGGACAGCCAGGCCTCCTCCTCCTCCTCCTCCGCCTCCGCCTCCGCCTCCGCCTCCGCCTCCTCCTCCTCCTACTCCTCTTCCACCTCCTCCTCCTCCTCCTCCTCCGAGTCCGCCGCCTCTGTGCTTCTGCCGCACGGGCGCACGGCATGCTGCAGCTCACAAGGCGGCAGGCCCGTCCGAGAGGCTCCCACCGGCCTTCGGCCGATCCCGCTGGCCACCCATCAAACTCTTCCAGAGGTGGGTGGCAAGGGTGGTGCCGCTCCAGACGAACCCAAGCTGGCCTCCGAGGTACCCAAGATGGCCTTCAAGACGGCTGACAATGCCCAAGGTGGCCTCCAAGACGTTCCCAAGACGCCTCCAGGACGGCCAAGACGACATCCAAGATGGCCAAAGATGCCCTCTAGACGGCCCGAGAGGACCGCAAGACGCCACAGGAGGGTTCCAAGAGGAGCTCCAGGAGAACAACACCATTCGTGTCCATATGATGTTTCAATGATTTTAGCATTCTCGCCAAATTCGAGCTTCCGACGCTCCAAGGCCCCATAGCCCATGGGCCCCCAAGGTCGCACCGAGACGGCCCGAGAGGCCCCCAAGAGACCCGCAAGACAGCCAAAGCGGGCCACAAGGCGGCCCAGGAGGCCCCCCCAGACGGCCCCGTAGACTTCCAAGACGGCCCTCGAGCGCCCGAAGAGGGACCCACGACTGTCCAGAGATGGCTCCCAAGCGGCCTCTGAAGGCCTTTCGAGGCTCCCAGGAGCGCCCGGGAGACCGGCCCCTGGGGCCCCCGAGATGCTCCCAGGAAGCCCCCAGGAGGCCCCGCGAGGGACTCAATAGGTCTCTACTTGTTCCTCCTCCTCCTACTCCTACTCGCCCTCCTTCTACTGTTTCTTCTTCTTCTTCTCCTTTTTCCTTTCCAAAGTGCTCCCCCCAGGGGCTCCACAACGGCTGGGGGACTACATAGTTCACTAGCTTGGCCAGACTTCGGCCCGACGTTTGGCTGCGTGGGCGTTTCCGAAAGGCAGGGGGTGGCGGTGATTCGCCGCAGGCGTCTGCGATGATGCGCTTTATGGTTCATGACTCTCGACTGCTGGGCTGTTTAAAGGGGAATCGCTCGCCCAGGGGATCGATTTGCAATTCATCATACTGCAATAATGCATGACTACGTTGAAAAAGTGGTGTTCAACACTCAGCGTAACGGAACACCATGCCAGGTTGATGCACCTTGGCGGCAACACTTGTGACACCATAGCCCAGCACCAGCTGCTCATTCTTATGAACCAATACCACGACTGCGGCAGCAAAAGCGGGTCCCTCGAGCTCGGCCCGGGGCCAAGAACACCTCCCAAACTCCTGGTGAGCGCCGCGCGTCCAGCGCACACTGTGGCACATCATGCTGCCCGCAGTATACGCAGTTGCTAAGATGAGGCGGGCCGCCCGCAGTCCACGGGATGGTGCGGTGGCCGACGAGGGAGGAAGCGACGCAAGAGTAGCACCATCCCAGCGGCAACTGTGGCACACACGTCCGCTTCCACGCCGCGAGGCACTGAGCGGGGTGCCCTCAGGCCCCTTGACTGGAAACGCTCTTCAGGGGGGCCCAGACCCCCGAGTCCCGAGCGCTGCCGAGCGCTGAAGCAGGGTACGTATGCCCGCGGAGACTCTCCCCGAGGCCCGGGGGACTCTGGTTGGAACCCAAACTTCCAACATTGCTTACGATGGTCTCAAGGCCCGCCATGGAGCCCCCTTTTCCTCGCTGGCAGCATGCTATGTCACGATTTGCAGCAAGACGATGTTCTTGATAAGTCTATGTTCCCCGACTGACGGGCACTGGCATCCACAGCGCTCGCTCGACCCCGTCGTCCTGGGCGGCGACGTCGCACTTGTCGCGACATAAAAAAATGTGAAGGTGTCAGCGCGGTGCGAAGGCAACTGTGCTTGGACAGGCTACACAAAGCCCAATCACGTACATTCACACGCAGATGCACCTCTGCAAATTCAACGCTCCACTTGATGGCGTCAACCTTCAGTCGTTATGACCGGAGTTGTTCGCCTCGACGACATGTACCCCAAGATATCTACGCGGTGATGTGTTTCCTGCGACGTGATTGGAGCAAGCTGAAGCGCTTGCTGTGGCTCAAGAACCACATGGTACTCCTCCACGTCAGGAAGACGCGACGGGGGATCCTATGCGAGGCATAGTTGCCCTCGAAGAAGACGGGCCCTGAGCTGCTGAACATCGCATCCCAGCCCACCGCGTGCAACCATGGTGCCTCCTGCAACGCAGACTCGTGACCCTTGATGGCCTGCTCGCACAGCTCCCTGATGCCCGGGAAATGGCTGCCGATGCCGACCTCGCCGTGCCCCTTTCCCTGGCAGGCCTGACCGCTCTGCCCCGCCCCCATGCTCTTGGCAAATAGGGCGGAGTACCACGATGCCGTTGAGTGCACCTTCTCCTTGTCGACGTCGACTACGAAGCCGGCCATGGCATCGTGCGTGCTGGATCCTCCGTCCCTGCAGTTGCCCCAGTACAGGCAGGACACGAGCTGGATGCTGTCGTCCGGCATGACCATGGTGACGATGTCGAATGAGTGCACCTCGTGTCCAGACTTTGGGCGCACCCATTCCAGAACAAGCACTCCTACGATTGATGCATATTTCTCGTTCAGCACCCTTGAGACTGCTGCCACAGTGCCATCAAAACCATCCCTACCAACTTCCAGGAAAGTGTCCCCTCTGCCCAGGCACCCGTCCATAAGCTTCAACACGACATCCCCAACGATGAAGTCACCGGACTTCCCTTTGGCGTGTGACCACCAATCGCAACTGCTCCCATCCCATTGGCCAAGCTGCTGGGGGAACGGCATGTTGGTCTTCTCCATATGCCTCCTCCAGAACTGCTTGGTCAGAACGTAGTCGTGCCAGGCATTTTCGATCGCGGCAGTGCTGTTGCCGTGGGTCATGAAAATGGCCAGAGGCACTGAGCCCACCATTTGAAAGGCCCAGAAGCACCGCGCGAAGAAATTCTCAGGCTCCACGAAAAAGCAGTTGACCTCCGAAGGCGGCTTCAATGCTGTCTTCAGCTTGTCGTGGCACACAAGCAGGATCAACAGTCCTGGCCACATTATCAAGGAGACGAGCATGATCAAGTGACTCCATCCAATCCAACCTCCCCAGTGAAAGACCTGATGGTACTTCACAAGGAAGCTGTACAATTCAAGCGGCTGCGAGGCTAGCAATCCGCCGACCCCCGCTTGCTGGGGGAGCAAAGGCGTGTGAGATGATTGGCCGTGCCCCTTCCCCATGTCCCCCTCCCCCAGGGTCCAACATCTCGTTGAAGGGAGGGAGGGGGTATCCGGGGCTCCCTGGCGCCCCCCCGGAGACTCTGGAACGTCCAGGAACTTCCAGCTCTGCCGTCCGTGGCCTCAGAACCGATCCACGACGATCCCGAATCGCCGAACGATTGGCCCAAGATGGCTCCGAGACGCCCCAGCACGCCTTCGAGACACCCCAAGAGAGCCCCAAGAGCCTTGCCAAGAGGGCCCCAAGGGGCACAAAGCACTGATGTCCTGCAGGTTCTTCATTGCTTTGAGGGGTCATATCGTCTTCTCGAGCTTCCGACGCTCCAAGGCAGCCCAAGAGGCCCCGTGGACCGCCCCAAACCTGCCCAGGAAGCTCTCACGAGGGCCCCAGGACGGCCCAAGAGGGATCCAAGATGGCCCAGAGAGGGGCCCAACACGTCCACAGATCGCTCCAAGAGAGGCCCCAAGAGAGGCCAAGAAGGAGAAGACGAACCGAGAAACCAATCCTCCGCCCGAAGAGGCCCCCTCCAAGGCCCCAAGAAGCCCCCCAGCCGCCCCCAAGAAGCCCCAAGAGGCCCCCACAAGGGGCATCAGAACTGCCCCCAAGACGCTTCAAAACTGCCTCCAAGAGGCTCCACCAGACCCCTGAACAGCTCCCAAGACGCCCACAAAGAGTCCCCAAATAGTGCCCAAGACGCCCAGGACGCCTCAACCGTGGACTCCCCGCCTCATCTGGGGGTCGGCGGAATGCCGCTGGCCTCTTGAACACATAGAAAGCCAGAACTACACGAAGCGCGCGGCCGAAGCAATCGGCAGTGGACAGCCAACCGCCTGATGGAGGTTGCATGAACGTTGACATCTCGTAGAGGTCGCCCGAGAACTCAGAGTCCTTGAAACGCTTAAACGCCATGCTTGTTTCTGGAACTCTGTCGCGATCCCTGACCTTCCCTGAAAATGGTTCAGCCAAAATGGCTTCAGCCAAAATGGCTACGGACCCGTCATGTGGCCGCCCTCTTCAAGGGCCTCCAAGGGCGACTTGGAGGCCCTCGGAACCGGCCCAGGAGGCACTAATCATTG